CCCGTATTAAACCTGGTGTAAATAACTTTATTTTAGCTGTGACATCCTAGGCTGAGAATTGCCTTTCAGAATGAGATTTACTGGTGAATCAGCTGTTTGCTTAGGAGCAAGATTCCTGCCATGAGTGGTAGAGATTGGTAACAGCAAGACTCAGCAGCATTTTGCTACGCTGCCTCAAACTCTGAGAAGCAGTGTTTGCCTTCTTATATATAGCTTGTAATTGAAGAACAGTGTGGCACAACTGCTGAAAATTATCTGTGGTGTTTTTTCTGAAAAGATTACTTGGCCTTGTTATTTTAAAAATCTGCACTGCTTGGAAATATGCGGTGTAATGTTGCCATTCTGACTCGACGTAATGTTTCTGGGGCAAGCAGTAGCTTCCAGTTTACTTCAGTTCAGATCCTTCTTTGTGAAGCCTGCAGCAAAGACATGCCTTTGCCATGCAGGTTCTTGTCATAGAAAATACTGCCTGATCACTTGGCTGTTTCTTTGGGTCCACAAGATGCGATCACAGGTTGCAGGCCAGCAGAGTAGGTTATGCATAGAAAGCTCTTTCTTATTCGTTGTGATCTTTGAAAATTATTTTCATTATAAAAATGTTTTTTCTTGCTCCATTTTAATGTAAAGCAAATCAATAGTTCTTCACATTAAATTTATCTCCACATCTAGTTGTTTTTCTTTGCCATCTGATTACTTTTCTCCCTTTTCTTTTTTTGCTGGCTTCATTTATTGTTCATTTTTTTCCACGCGATTAAAGTTGAGAGTCCAGAAAATTGTTTAGTTCTGTATTGAGTTTTCTATGTAGGCTACATTTTACAAGCTTGTTTACATGATAGTCAGAAAGCATACTGTGTTTTCAACAAAGTGAATGGATTTGTCTTAGAAGCTCCAGAAGTTGAAACTTTTAATGTGCTTAACTTATGGCAAAATTGGTGCAAAGTTTTATTTTTAAAATTTAAAAAAAAAAAGGAAGGAAATTCAAAGGAAGAGCTAAACTGTAAATTTTAATTAACAAAGTTTTCAACAGTTCAAAAAATTGCAGTGAGCTGTGGTCTGGTTTTGGTTTTATTTTTTTGAATAATTTTTTGTTGTTAAAAGTTTTCCTTGGGACCTCAGTGATAAAGAGCTGAAATGTTTTGTGAGGTTGAAAAGTCATTTGCATAGCATTTGCATGGAAATTGGTGTTGACAGTGAAGAGCCTGCAGACTTGCCCTGTCCAGTAGTGACACAAGCAATGCATGACTTTTGCAGGCCTTTTGCAGCAGCATCATTTAAGAATACCTTTTGTGTAAGACACAGACCGTATTTGCATTCTCTGTTTGTAAAATTTCAGTTGTAGGTTCAAAATTAGGCTGATTGATCTATCAGTGGTTCAAATTAGGTTCATGAATGCCTGCTATCTAATCAAAAGCCTTGTTTTGCAATAATGCTGTAGTTAGCTTGTTAATGAATATGAACTTATTTTGACTCAGGTGTAAAGACCAGACTATCAGAGTTGTAAAACGAAACTTAGATTTATAAAGATGGTTATCTTTTCTCACTATGCTGTGTTCATTTTGACTGTCTTTCATAACATAGGCTTCAAATGCATTTTAAGAATTACAGAACTGTTTAAGCTTTTTTTTTTTGTAATCCTAGTCTTAGAAATTAGGAAATAGTGTTTCAGTGTTGAAAAGTAAACTGTATGGCAAAATACACAATGAAACAGTCTCTCAAAGCAGATCAGATCAGAAAAGGGAAATTAGGGAGGAAGAGGAGGGAGTGAGACGTTTCTACTTCTATTTGTGGAAAAAGCAGGGGAAATGCACACACCCCAATGAGTGATATCTGAGGATTTTTGTGAAGCAAACATTTACTCTTGAGTTTTGACTGGTTGTGTTAACTTCAATGGCAAAACTTGACAGTTCTCTATAGCATCATACATTAAACCAGTTTTTAACTTTTGTAATTATATTCTACAATAGCGGATGTGTAAATATTTAGAGGCTTTGTTTTATTGGCAGTATTTCTTGGATTTATTTCTGTGAACTCAAGCATCCAGTCTGCAAGCTACGGAGTAAGATAGGTTGGTTTAAATTAAAGTAATTAAAATTGTGATTATACAGAACTATTCTGAAGTTTATATTTTCTAGCATGCTTGTTTTCATCACAAAGGAGGTTCTCTTTAGAGAAGGAAGTAGCCATTCAAGCTACTTAAACACATAGGAAATGTTTGTATTTCTACAAATATTTTTTTACTTTAACTTACTTAAATTCACTTTAATATTTTTTAACTTCTTTGGCAAAAACAGGTTTATACCCTTTCTTTCACTATGAAGAACTTAATTTGTAAAGTGTAGTGATGTTCTGAGCATTTATTGTACTCTGCATCCTCTATGATGTTCAGCACCACAGAGTTGTAATGGGATGTGCATGTAGATAGTCATGATCATAGAAACATATGCTTTCATAACATACTTGTACAGACCTCTTGGAATTCAGTGGTTTTGTATGACACATTTTGAGTCCTTTTATTCAAGAAATGAATAAATACCCAGAACTGGTCTTAAGGTTTGTCTTCACTCCATTGTTAGCTTGAGTTTGCCTTTCATTCAGTTTATTTTGTGTTCAAAACTGCAGCATGGGTGAAAAACAGTTCCAGCTGTTTGGTATGGTGGTGTGCTTTGAAGTTCAGGTATTGTTAATGTGAATTAATAATACAGTAGTGAGTTGCTTCTTTGCTTAAAATAACTTAATTCAACTGTGAAGATAAGCCTAACTGCATTAAATGTTTTGAAATTAGTGCTGGTAGTTGCTTAAAAAAAACAACTTGCTGTTTTGTTTTAAATTAGGATGGCTTCTTGTTGTTTGGTTTTTGTTTGTTTTGTTGTGCTAAGGTTCTCAAAACTGTAGGGGAGGAGACTTGTGCATATAAGTACTAACATGCCCCATTGTGCTTAATTCCCTTGCCTTTGTCCACCAGTGTCTCTCTTTCCTGTGTGGACTATGACAGATTCAAGTTCAGTTTAACTTTACATGGTTTTGTTTAGGATCATAAGGTTGTTGTTTGCTTGTTGTGTCTAGACTTGCAGTTGTCTCAGTAAGTTTGCTTTGAATGCCATAATGTAAGGTTTTGTATGTAGTATTGGTATAACAGAGACTTTTACTAATGCATTACTGGTTTTGGGGGTAGCTAATACCTAATAACTGCCCTAGTCTTGTGTTACTGAAAGCTATATAAAAAGTTTGTAACTGCTTTTTTTCCTCTCCAGTCCTTGTAACACCTCTTGTCCCTTTATAAGTTCTTACGAAAGCTCCTGGCCAAATGGCAAGGTCCCTTTACCTGTTGTGATCTGTAATGAACTATTTCTACTGTAACTGCTTGGAAGCAGAAGTCCCCTTTCATTTCACTGAGGTTTCTAATCTCATTTTCTTTATGTATTGATACTTCAGTAATTTTTTTTTTAGGATTCTTCTACAAATTAGTCTCAAAGTTGCAATTAAGGCTGTCAGAAAATGAAAGCTTTTAAAAATTTTGTTACATTTTATTCTTACATAGCAAAGCAAAACAAGATCTTTTCATTTTTCTTCTTTACTAAAATTCAGCCTCTTCTTGACCATCTCTCTGAAGAAAAAACCCAAACACACCTTTAGAGTAAAAGAGTTTCCCAGCCAGTTATTTTAGCTTTCATTTGCCTGAAATATGAAATACCAGTTTGAGATGGTTTTGAAATCCAGGTCTTCAATATTATGAGCAAGCATCCTGTGTGAGATCTGAGATCCATATCCATCTTTCCACTCTTCATCCCACCTGTCTGGTGCTATAGAAGCTTTAGTTTTGACTGAATTCAGGGGCAAGGGTTTCAGATGGATTTAATGGGGATAAGAGAAAGGGAAGCTAAAGTTAAAATACAATGGTCTGGGCTTCTTAAAGGAACGATATTTGAAGTGACTGATGGTATACCTATAGTAAGTGGAAATACTTCCAGGGCAGGTATTTCTCACAGTACTGGAATGGAGGAGAAACTTTCATGTTAACTGGAAGTCAAAGTCATAATTAATTAAATAACTCACATGAATTATAACAAATTGCCATGCTGTATAATTGAGTTTAAGTACTAAGCATTTCTGTGGATAATAAGTGTTGGTAATTGCTGAAATGAGATTAATAAAATAAAGGATATAGGTTTTCATGCTTCAGGAGAAGCTCACAAGTTTGAAATTAATTATGGGCAGATACATTACTCAGGGCATCTAAAAATATAGCTGGACTGTGTGTGATACACTCGGTCTTTATTTTGTAGCTTCTTATAGTCTGTTCTGAATTAAGGAGGCATGGCTTATACCCTCTCCTCAACTTTGACTTATTAGCGTATCTGTGAAGTTCATGAACTATAAGGTTTTTGTTCACAGTATATTTTCCAAAGAAAGTTGGAATAATGAGTAAAAGAATATTAGTATATGTGCAGTAAAAGGAAAAAATCACTAAAGAATTTTTGGCCCACATGTGTCCTAAAAATTGTGGAGAAAAAATCCCATTTGTCATACTGACAGCCTTCAGTCCAGTATCTCAAAGTTGAAGGATTTTTGTGTGTGCGTTCCTAATAAATATTAGGTTCAGTAGCGTGAATTACACTAGATATCAGATATCTTCAATTTCTGTTATTTTCATGTTTTGATTTTTTTTCCCTAGAACAACAGTTAAGCATTTAATCATCTGAACTTAATATGAATATTGTACTAGTGAGAAGTTGTCAGGTTATATTGGGGGAAAACGAAAATTACTGTCTGTCTTCTGTTCAGAGTCTGCATCTGTGGACAAGTCTGTATCCCATTCTTGCACAACTCCTTCTACATCTTCTGCTTCTGGACTGAATCCAGCTTCTGCGCCTGCTTCATCTGCTCCCACAGTTCCTGTCTCACCTGTCCCGCAGTCACCAATTCCTCCGTTACTTCAGGACCCAAATCTCCTTCGACAGCTGCTGCCTGCTCTGCAAGCCACCTTGCAGCTTAATAATTCTAGTGTAGATATATCCAAAATCAATGAAGGTAAGGATTCTTTAAAGTTGATGTCATCTCTTATTTACACGCATTAGTACACTGTTGGATCCTAAGCTAAGTGGATACTAAGTAGTAAATGCAAGCCTTACTTTTATAAATAAAAGGTGGATAAATGAATCCCTAGATAAAACAGGGATTTTTTTTTGTCATTTTGTTGGTTTTTTTTCTGTTAAACATTTTTAAATTAGTCAAGTAACGTTTGAGGTTGTTTAGGCTGATAAATGCTGATGGGAGTGAGCAGTCTTAATTGAGACTGGTGGCTTAATCGCTGTATCAGCATTCATCTGCTGCACAAAATCTAGTCAGAGCTTTTTGTTCTTTTGTTTCCTGCAGTGTCGTTTTCTGTAGTTTGTGCTGCTATTCTAATGTGTTTGCAAATACTGAAACTTCTAGGGATTCTTAAATCTTGTTGCCTATCATCATTTTGTCTTTAGCAGAACTCGTTACCCTCTCTGAACAAACACAGCATTTCAGTAATTTTGCTAGCAAGTTAAATTTCGTGCATGTAATCAGTGTATCCCTTAGATTTTTGTTACTAGTTTATTAGAAGAAAGTTTAGAAGTAGCTATAGTGCTGTTCGCTGCAAGATCAGGTAGAATTTTGAATGTAATTTTATCTAACATGGTGTCTGCATGTGGCAGGTTACTGAGGAAGAAAATGGTGTGGGATTTTTTGTTTGCTTTGTTGAATTTGGGCACTGATCACCGCTTTAAATAGGAAGCAAAACATTTACGTGTTATGCCCAAAGCTAATTATCTTAACTTTTAATTTAAAAGTGCAAACCATGAAAGTCAAAATAGAAAATCACTTGAAATTTTACTATTATGTATGTTACAATTACTTATAAGGGAAAGCTGTCAGTTTACTTCCTTTTAATCAGCAGATATTATGGCTTCATTCAGTGCTAATAGGTGAGTAGGTTATTATTTATTTCCTGTGCAGGGAGAAGCTTTTAAAAAACTGTAGTACACTAGGTTGGACTAAAAAAGTAGGAATATCGTGGTTGGTTGTTTTTAAAAAAAATGAAAGGTCCAGTCACGACTCCAATTGTATTTTATTAGAAAGCTGCCAATGTAAGTTCCTGGTGGTTTTCTCTTGGCATACCTGAGCAGTGCTGTGACTGTCATGGAACAAGAGTGTTGTGGTGTTCTGATGACCTGAGGGCCTGGCTGGCAGGTCCACGTGGGCAGAGTGACTTCACCTTGTGAAGTATCCTGCAGAGCCTGTAGGCATTTTTTTTGAAGATTAATTCAGAAGCTGGGTCTCATCGGCTTCCTGTGTAGTACAATTTTAAGACAGTTTTTTGAAAATTACTAATTTTTAACTGGAGGAGGGAGGGAACAGAGAGCTAAACTCACAACAAAAAAGTTTGTTCGTGTGGGTTTTTTTAAGAAGAAACTCTGAGTGTCTGAATTTTTAACTAGAAAGGTATTTTTCCTTGAACAGTAAGCATCCCTCCCCATCTCTTTTAGAGAATTGAAGTAATACTGCTTGTTTGCTTTTTAAAATTACTATAATTTTAAAAAAGCAAACCAAACCAAACTAAAACAGAACCACCACACATTCTGCTTACTACAATAACAAATTGAACAAATGTTCTCTTTAGATTTGCAAGAACTACTTTTGATCCATAAGGTCAAGCTGAAGAGTTAAGTTGTTTTCTAAAAGAGGGTTTTTTTTAGTGTGTATCTCACAGGTAAAACTGCTAATTAGAGGACTTGGTTAGACATGCCAAGCATTCACGAATTGAATTCAAGTCATTGAGAAATAGTTCAGGTGGCTCTTTGTTCAGCTGTTGATACGGGAATAGAATCAGAAAGAAAACGTGGCTTAAATGTATTTAGCCAGTTTGAACAGTTTAGAGTGATGTTCTAGAACTGCCAGTAAAACAAAATGTTTGTTTTTAGTTCTAACAGCAGCTGTGACACAAGCCTCTCTGCAGTCTATACTCCATAAAATTCTTACTGCTGGACCATCTGCTTTCAATATCACTTCCCTAATTTCTCAAGCTGCACAACTGTCTACGCAAGGTATTCATAGTCTTCTTTTCACTTAAATAAAATTGTTACATTGCATTTTATAAAGGCTGATACAATTGAAACTTGCAGAAGCTGTCTCTTGTCGTATCTTTGGCCATCTGCTGTGGAGGATGTTGAATGTTTTCTTTTTCCAAAGATAGGATAAGAAATTGTTACTTGACGAGCAGGAAGCTGACACAAAACTAAGTAAATGTGCTTCTCTATCTCGCTTTTTGGGATTTTCTTTGTATGTTAGCTAACTCTATATCGGTAATGTGAAACATGTGCGAGACCCTCTCAATTTATTCTGAGCCCTAATTAGATGTTATTTAATATTCAATACAGAACACAACTCTTCCTTGACTGAACACCATTCTTGTAATACGATGCTTCTGTGATTCTTTGGGGAGGCCTTAAATTCTTAAAGTTTATTCTATCTAGTGGGTTGGTTTTTTTTATGTAGTCTCCTGTAAATAGTATTCTTCAGCTTCCAGGCAAGGTACTCTTTCAGGTATCTTCAATACATTCTGATTTCTAACTTAATAAAGCTAGAAACTTAAACCACAACAATAAATGCAGTCATCTTATTGGGTAGGTAAGCAGTGTTCTGCTAATGCTAATTTTTAAACACTGATTAAAACATTGGTGGGGGATTGTTGGTAGATGCCTAGAGTGGGTAAATAGGTTTCTAGGTAAATTGTTTATGCATTCTTTCAGTTAAATCGAGTTGAGCACTCCAGAATAGGAACTGCAAATGAAACTAGTCTCTTCATGTGTAAAAAGCCTTCCATAGTAGCTTCTTTTCTTTACCCCTCCCCTCAAGTTTTAGAAGTGGAGGGTTTAAAGAAAATACAATTACTTAGTTAGGATTGTTGTTGAGCGTTTGATTGTTTCAGTTGTTCACCACTCCAACTGTGAATATGTTGTGTATGTTACCTAGTACAGTATGCTTCAAAGTACTAAAATAAAAATCTGATTCACGTTCAAGATAGGATATGGTTTTATTGAAAACAATCTTTATTTTTCTTTGCAGCTCAGCCATCTAATCAGTCTCCAATGTCTTTAACGTCCGATGCCTCATCACCAAGATCATATGTATCTCCAAGAATAAGCACGCCTCAGACTAACGCTGTTCCACTTAAACCTTTGATGACTACACCACCAGTATCATCACAGCAGAAGGTAAACTCCTTTTGATGTCATATTGTAGTAAGAAACCATTATGGGTAGTATTAAAGTACTGCTGCTATATATCCAGGTGCTAGCAGTTATATGTAGGATGATAGAATATGTACGTTATCTTTCCCAATAGAAACAGAAACAACTGAAAGCAACTACTTGGCTGTATTTTTGCAATACATTTCAAGCATGGAATCATAGTGTACTTTTCTGTTCTTGAAGAAAATCTTGCATTCACTTCAGATGCTGTCTGAAGATACTACCAAAAGATCAGTATTTTAACGTATTTAAATGGAAACAAAAACTTAATCCAACGGCAACAGCTGATACAGTTCTCTAGACTTTAGCCAAGAAAAGAATGGGAGATAAATTCCTGGGAAGTTGAACTGATGTAGTCTCAAATTTGATTTAGAAATGTTGTAGGTGTTTACAGGGTCATTAACATTATGCCCCTTTCCTGCCCCCTCACTCCTATTCATTCAGTAAGAAGTGCTCAATTGGATCAGTGACCAGGAAAGATTAATTGAAGCTAACAAATAAGCTCCTAAGGTTCTTCCGAAGGATGAAGTAGAAAACATAAAGATTATTAAAAAAAAATAACCACCTTGTACAGCATATAAATATTCTGTCAAGAAAACACCTTGTATCAAAAACTCAGTGGTCTTGTAATTTCCATGTTTTCATCTGGTTCTTACACTTGACATTTACTATGGAGGAAATCTAATGAACTTTTGAAATTCCCAGGTTGCTACACCAGGTGTTAAACAAGGACCAGCTTCACAAGCAGCACCTCCGCAGCCGGTAATAGCTGACAAGCAGCCAGGTCATGAACCTGCCTCTCCACGAAGTCTTCAGCGCTCAAGGTATATTGAAACACTTCTCTGTGCTGTCCTCTGTTTTTGCTCTGGATCCGATGTATGTTGTATCTTAACTTCACTGCTACTGAAAGGATGCAACTAAATATCTTTGTTACAGAGCTGATGTAGTAGCTTCTCATGTTTAACACCACCCCTGGAGTTCCATTCACAGAAGCAAAATAGAATTAATATTCACACACAGAATGTTAGGAGTTGGAAGGGA